GTACTTGAATCTATCATTCGCTGGATTTTATGGAAAGGTTCCACATAGTATTGGAAATCTTTCGAATTTGCACGTGTTAAGTTTGGCTGACCATGGCTATTCAGCGCTGCAGTTGGAAGTCAGTAGTGTCGAATGGTTGTCAGGACTTTCTCGACTGAAGCACCTCAACATGAACGGTGTGAACCTCAACAAAGCAACCAACTGGGCACAACAGGTGATCAACAAACTTCCTTCTTTACTCGAGCTGCAAATGAGTTCTTGTAGTCTTAGTTTTCTTTCTCTGAATGATAATAACAATATTAGCCGTTCTAATTTAGCCATTATTGATCTTTCCTCGAACCACTACAGTTACCAATCATATGCCATCATCCCACAATGGATTTGTCAACTCACCAACCTTATCTATCTTGATTTGGCACACAACTCATTCCGTGGCCCAATACCAACTATGATCAATACCACAAAACTCCAACACATTGATCTAGCTTCTAATTATTTCAATTCTAGTATTCCACAGTGGCTCTACTCCTGCAAAAACCTTGAGTATGTGAGTCTGGCAAACAATAATCTTTTAAGAGATCAAATTTCAAATTCCATAGCAAATCTGACTTCTCTCAGTACCCTCGATTTAAGCAGAAACGAACTTTCTGGGAAAATACCAAGCGAAATTGCAAGGTTGTGCAATATTCAGACCTTGAGTTTATCTGATAATAAGTTGGGAGGAGAGTTAACAGATTCATTTGGAAATATGTCAGATTGTTTCTTAGAATCTTTGGAGTTCTTAGATATGTCGAGCAATCGGCTCTCTGGTCAATTACCTAATCAATTTGGAGAATCGACGAGTCTTTGGTTCCTCGATCTTAGCAAAAACTTACTATCTGGTGTAATTCCAAATGAAATAGGGAACTTGATTTCCCTTGTAAGGTTAGACTTGGGTAGTAATAAATTGACTGGGAACCTACCAGAGAGTATAGGGAAACTTGTGAACTTGACAACTCTTTTCATAGAAGATAATATGTTTGAAGGGGTTGTGACTGAAGCCCACTTTGCCAATCTTTCGAATTTAGACACCTTGGATGCCTCTGGAAACCAGTTGAGTTTGAAAGTCGACCCGAATTGGATCCCACCATTCAAAATGTGGAGGCTTTACCTAAGGTCGTGGGACTTGGGATCAGGCTCTCGAATTCCATTATGGCTAGACACACAGAAAGAGAGTATCTCTAATCTTGATTTATCAAGTACTGGAATCACTGGAAGCCTTCCCAACTGGCTATGGAGTTTGTATTTTCTCAACATTTCACATAACCAACTCGATAGCAAGATTCCAGTCATCATCAGGTGTTCCTTCCTCGACTTGAGTTCCAACAAGTTTAGAGGTCCATTGCCTCGAATAGGGAAAAGAGCGACTGAACTAAATTTCTCCAATAACTCATTCTCGGGAGATTTGTCAGAGTTTCTCTGTAACACAACAGCCAATGAACTGCGAAGTCTTTATCTCGAGGGAAACCACTTGTCTGGAGAGTTACCTGATTGTTTCATGAAATGGCAATCATTGATACTTTT